TTCTCTTACAAAAAAGTTGAAAACACTAAAATTTGCCTCTTCTTTTAAAATCATCAAATTATCAAATACATTACTTTACTCTATTTATATTTAATTGATAATTTTGTTGAATAGTTGAAGCAACCAAAATTTTAATTTATATATGCTATATTAATATTTTCCATGATCTCAATTATTAATTATCAATATTGACCTCGTACTGATTTTATAATTTTTATTTTTTTTAATTTTTAAACAACTTAGTGTTCTACTTACCTTTTCATATTTTATAAATTCCCTCTATGAAATGAAAAAAATGATTTTACCTAGATTTAGAATAAAAAATTCCATTTCAAAAGACTATGCATTATATATAATATAATAACTATTCAGGCGAATCATGGTGTTCTGGTTGATTCGGTCGGGTTACGAGTTAGTAGGGTTTGGGTCAATTGGGTTGCGAGTCACTCGAGTTGTTTGTCAATTGGGTTGCGGGTCGGGAGGGTTCCAGATTGTTGACTTTTAGTCAATTCAGGTTACGGTCGAGTTGTGAGTCAGATTACTCGGGCGGGTTAGTTGAGTCGGGTTCTGTTTTTACACCTCTAGCTAATAATATTAGTATTTCACGCAAATAATAATGGTTATTCGGGCAATCTAGTATTTATTCATGCAATTGTGAAATCAATTTTGAAATATATCAAAATGTAAATTATGATAAATCCAACTCAGTTTAAAAAAAATAAAAAATCCAAATTTAACTACGTAATATATGTCCAATACTAAAATTAGGGGGGAAAATAAAAACTTTGGGTTCCATTTGCGTGACTAACCACAACAATTACATGAATAAGCACCAAATTGCTTGAATAATCTCCATAAAAATCACCAAATGGCGATAATGAGCTACACAGTGTGTGAATTAGTCGTTGTGGCTCCTCTAGAGACAACAAACTTTGACTTTCATACTTTGGAGTACATCTAAACCAATGTAGTTATATATGAAATTCCACGCCAGAAACAAGGGTTGAAACGTAAAAGATAAAAATGAAGCATTAAAAGCAGATATGTCCAATGTAGTAAAAAATACGTCTTCAACACAAAAATGTACATTTTTACATTTCTGATTAGGAAAAACGTTTCAGTTTCTATATACAAACCTATTACGTGTAAAAATGTTAAAAAATCGGTAAGAAAATAGTCAAAACGCGTTTCTGATTCATTTTTGTGCGTTTCCAGTTGAAGGAATTCCAAACAATTTCGCACCCTCTCTCCCAATATCACCAATTAGAACATCGATCCCTACGATCAAATCAACCTACAACAAGTCTTAAATCTATCCTCAAAGTTAAAGGATAATCCAAAGGTTAGTTTCTCTAGAATCTTCCCTGGAATCAACTGCCCAGCTATAGGAAACCAGGGTTGCACCTTGTCTGACCAACAACATTTCTCAGCGAACGAGAAATCATAACAACGATGCCAATGGTTGGATCTGATCCTAGAAAGTATGGAACGTCTCCTCCAAATTTGATGACGATCCAACAGTGGGTCGTATTGTAATCTATGCTTGAACTCACTGCTTTGCTGCAAAATAAAAAGTTGGTTGCCATTTAAACCATCCAACTTTCCATTAGTTACAATTAAGCCCTTCAATTTTCAATTCACTTCACATTCTTTTAATTTAAAATGAATTTAGCCATAATCCATTTAATCAAACACCTTCCTCATGCCATAGTTAATCAATTCAAAGATTGCTTCATATTTAACAATCGCTCAAATATGGGGATGATGTCACCTAGATGCGAGCATGGCATATGACATGTTCAAGAGGGACGAGGACGTTACATCACAACTTCATCATGTGATTACTTTGTTGTTTGATGTGCGACTTAAGTGATTAATATTGACTAATAATCTGATTTCTCGCGTTCAATTGATGAAGAACCTTATAATAAAAGAAATCACAGTAATACTGTTTAATTTGACATCCAGATTTAAAGAAAATGGCCGATAATGAAGTGTAGTAGTTAACTGGTTATACTTTTTTTTATGAATGAAGAAGTCTCATTATTTCCTTATTGCATTGTTGGTTTAGTTGTATATTTTCTCCACTATTACAAGTTTGTCAAATTATATTATCTGCATGAGTAGTGAGCTTTCTATACGAGACAGTTAGTTTGTTCAAGATTAATAAGATTATACAAAAAAAACTTACGTTTTTACGCTATGCTTTTAGATTTTACATTTTTACTCATATTTTCGCTTCTGTGTGGCAATGGGCATTTGACTACATTGTATATATTGCGTAAAAACTGTTAGAAATCTTATAATGAAAACATACACTCTTTGAAATATAACATCATAGGCTTTGAATAACTATCTTTATTCCAAATATTAAGGGCGCTAGTCATAAAACAAACTAATTTGACGAGCTCTTAAATTAGAATAAAATAGTAAATCCCTAGGGTACTTTTATAGTTTTCTTATACAATTCACCAAACTTTTAAGGAGAATTAGAAATCATCGATCAATTTATTAACAAAGTTAAGGGGTGTTAAAAGCTTATCCGTGACCCCAAAAACACATCCTCAAGTTGGCTATCAATTCAATGGGTTGAACTAGCATCACCTTGTGGGACTTTCCCACTAAAGCTCAACTAGTATCCCTTCCAAAATCCGATTTTTTGCAATAAAAAGATACCTCACACCTTGGGCTTACCCCATACGTTATTTCTCAAAATAGCATGACAATTTCGAATGAAACAATTTCATGATAGGTAGCTTTTTTCAACTTTCTAAAGATACACTTCACCCTTTGAAAACTTTTGTAAACATGAGACTATTTTGCATAATCAGAAATCTTTGAATAAATCAAACAACATGACATCCAAACATATCAAATGGTCATTATATTCCATTAACTATTGCATCCTTCATAGCCACTACACTATCCTCCCTAAATCAAATGATGATTACTAGACGCAGTGATTCAACGTTAGATGAGAAGTGATAATGCTAGTCGGGGATGACTAAAGTGATTAGATGGAAAAAAATCTTTAGCACTTTCAAATTATTTAAGAACATATCATAACAATTTAGCATTGAAAACTTTTCCCATTGGGGACAATCTCATGCTTAAGTTTGGAGTGTTAAATTCTAAACTCATGTCATGAATGATTGGACTGACATTATGAATGCTTTGAGGGCTTCAAGCATGATTGACTTATTTTGTATGATCATAGTGGGCACTAGATGAACTTGTGTTTTGAATTCGGTGGCTCATTGATGTCGATGCATGATTAGTGTGATTGAGATTCTAAGTAACCTATAATGATGACTAAGAACTGGAGTAACATTGTTTGTTGTGTCCCTCTTTATTTGTCGCAAAATTGAATGGAAATTTGTTTGGTCACTCACCATCATTGGTTGTTTAGACTGAGCATCTAGGTAGCTATGTGAGATTTGTGTATGTTTGTTTCTTTCATGTGAGATAGTTCCCTCTTTGGATGATGACTGAGCTTAACCTTTGCATCAAATCGAATCAAGAGACCACTGATTACAAAGATAAATGCATAGGATTATCCCACAATCAAATTGACTATAATATCATTGGCTAAATACATGTTTATTTCTAAATAGCACCTTGTTTAAAGTCAATATGTGTTCTTTCAAGCCAATATTATTTTGAACCCTTTTCAAGGTTTCACTTGGTTGATTTTTATAGGGTTTTATACTTCATTACAAAGTGAGTGTTGGAGGAAATCTTTAGCAAACTGTGGTTGTGTGATCTTTTTCTCTCAAGAAAATAATTTAAAGTAAAGAAAAACAGAAAAAGAATGAAATAAGCCAATAAGGAGAGCAACCACAAGTTTTATACACTTGAAAAGTAGTCGTTTTCTTGCCCAATGACTTATATGCTCCTACTGTTTGAAATTTTCCTCTTGTACTCTTCTTTTTATTAAAGTGTATCAAAGCATAAACAACAAAGAAAATTGTATTGTATGTGGCTATTATTTAGAATGTGTGGAGCCTTGAGCACGATAGTAATTTTCCATCATCATAATGACCTTCTCCCTATTTCCTAGTGATTCCGGCATAATTACATATGTTTTCACCTCTTATATCTTGAATATTTGACTTGGAATTCATCGTTTCTCAATCTATTTTATGCTAGGTTCTACCATTTTTTTTTATATTTCAGGTCCTACTATAAGAGGGAAGGTCGAGGACGAATTTTGGGACGAATGGAGGCTGAAAAAATGCCCAAGTATGAGGAAAGTGTTGAGATCACAGGCTGAGAGATTTTGTTACGGTCGCTAGCCCGTGAAGATTGACCGACGACCATGATAATTGCTAAGGAACTGGAGGTTTTGTATGCCTTGCGGGCAGGTCAATTGTCACGGTCACCTGACCATGATGATTTCCATATGACCATGAAGGTGGACTAAAACGGAAGCAACAAGCTGCGTCTTCGGGCGAGATTATGACGGGCTGTCAATGTCACGACCCATGATGTTAGCAAAGTACTTTATTAGTTTACTGTCACTTCCACCACAAGTATGCAATTGATTTGACATTCAACAATGGTACCACTCAACAACAATTTTTATTATTCGTGTCTAGGGGTGGAGGACCGGTCGGTTCGGTTATAACCAAAAACTGAAGGATCGGTTACCGGTTAACCGAACCACCTCCTAACTCTACCGACCACCGACCAAAAGAGGGCTTAAGGCTTCAGTTATCTTGGTTTTCGATTAACCGAATCATCTCCAAAGACCAAAACCATCTCGCCCAACCTTCGAACACCGGCCGACTTTCGGTTATCTCGGTTTTCAGATAGTGTATAACCGGCCAGTTTCGGTTGTAACCGATCGGTTAACCGCTAACCGCTAGCTGATTGTCCAACCCTATTCTTGTCTATCATAAATTTCAAACAAGACATAAACACAAACTTATTTGGGTAAAATTTTTCCAAAGGAAACAAACATTCCAAAAGTTAACAATACAAATGAACTACTTTTTTCACACATTTATTTAAAACTTAAGATATAAAAATAAATATATTTAATGCTTTGTGCTAGTTAATAGTACAACACTACAACATACCAACAACAAATGCACAACTAGTCATGTAAAAAAAAAATATTACAGAATCGAGAGCAGAGGCATCATCTAGCCACAATCTCTCTCTCTCTCTCATCAGTAAAGATAACTGTAATAACAGAATAACTGTATGAATCCACAAATTAATCTTACTCCTCTGTAACAATACTATTGCTATCTTGGGAAAATGATGGTATTGCTACCCTGCTTTAGTATTCTATTTAACATAAGCTGCCCCTCAAAACCCATAACCACAACAACCTTGGAAATTAATACAGAGTGGGAAGAAATTAATAACTGGGTTTGGGAGGTTAAAAAGGAGAGTAATTAACAACTTCACTAACCAAGGGATATGGAAATGGAATTCTGGGTCATATGATGTGGTTGTTGTTTTTTTTTTTTTTTTTTTTTTTTTTTTATATGTCCCGTGTGTTCTCTTCTACCTCCATCTATATAGCTGCCGCCGCTGCCCGCCTTCCCCTCTTTTAGCCTTTATTCACTAACAAAATTTGTTTTTGTTGTTGTTGTTGGTGGTGGATCCAATTCCAATTCCAATTCCAAACCCTGACTCATTAACAAGTCTATGGCTTCCCTCTTCCTCCATATCCCACAACAGGTTGCCACCATTATCCTGCAAAACAAAAAGAAAGAAAAAAAAATGATGCGTTTTGGTTACTCCACGTCAACATTAAAGCTACCAGAGAAAAATAGAAAATCCAACCAAGTAAAAAAGGCAATAAATATAAACATAGTTATATTTCAGCAACAGACCTGAGACTGAGAGAAATCCCCCGGCCTAGTTGTGTCAATAAGAGGGTAGCAGCTGTTTGCCGCGGCGGAGGAAACCGCAACAGAGACGGCGGCGGCGATGGTGGTGGTGGTGGTGGTGGGGTTGCATTGCTGACCCGATGGCAGGGGCGTCGATACCTCCACATTACTACTCAATCTCTGCAAAAGAAAGAAGGAAAAAGGCAACCAATATATTTTGGTTGATCAGTCATGTCACGCATTGATGACAAAATGGTCTCTGGACCCAGAAAAAAACAATAATTATAAGAAGAAAAAAAATTAACTACCTCTGGTCGGACCATGAGCCCATCAAGATCAAATCCAAAGTCATAGAAAAGTGGATTGACAGTAGCCAGCTTCATGGAAAGGAACTGCACACCATTTTCCATAAGTAATTAATTATATGAGATGTGATGAAGACAGTGCTGCAAATTGCAACGAGACTTACGTATTTGATTAAGGCTAATCAAATCACATACCTCAACTTGATTCTGAAGGGACTGAATATAGTTAATGATCTCATCCAACATAAGTGCCTTCCCAGTTACCTGCAGAGCAATCAAATCAGAAACCAATAATACCCTGTTAGTGCCCAAAATGCAGTGTTCTAGAAGACGTGATTAATCTCTCGCCTAGACGCGATTAATAGCAAGGCAGGAGGAAATCACTCCGTCTAGTTTTGGGCGATTGATCTAGGCACCTAGACACTCGGAGGCGCGTTTTCACTCTGGTGGGCGACACCAAGAACAACTAATAAAGGGGGAAAGTGTAGTTTTTTTTGTTGTGAAAATTCCAAACCCTATTCTATTTCCCATTTCCATTCGACCAGCCGCTCCCCCTCATCGACCAGCAGTGAGATCCCTCCTCATCGTTGGCGACTTGAGATGTTTGGGATTGTGGAAAAGGGTTGTATGTGAATATGAATGGATGAATAGATATGGCGATTTGGGTTATTGTGGAATATGCCGTATCTATCATATATTTTTTTTTCTTCAACGTTTAATCACGCCTAGGCAACGATTAGTTGGCCTGGGCGTTGGACGGTGCCTCCTCACCTAGATAGCGCTTACCGCTTAGTGTCTTCTTGAACATTGCCAAAAAGTACCATTTTACTAAGAATGATTACTTGCACAAGAACACACATATGATTCCATAGAAATTGATAGCCGACCTTGTCACAGCCTGGAACCAGGTGCTGCAGCATCTTCATCCTCTCGCTGATTTTCTCCCTTCTTGCCTATCCATATACAGTAAATACGTATTAGTACGCGTACAAAAGTTAATATTGTTAGTTACCGAGCTTGTATGGCTCTCCAAGGCCAGAAATCTTTTATGTTATTATGGAAAGGTTAATATAGAGAGGTAGTGGAATAGAAAGATGGATACCCGCTCGGCAAGGCTGTGGCTATCAGTAGCTTGGCCCCTCCTAGCTCTGACATGAATGTAGCCAGTGGGTGGTCGTTCCTTGTCAGCACCTTTCTTCTTCCTCCTCTGCTGGTGTTTTTCTTTCTTGCTCTGCTTTTCATCCCCTGTTTTCCCCTGCTGCTGCTTCGTCTCTTCTTCTACTTCAACATCACTGCTTTTCTTAGCCTTCTTCTTGCTCTTACTTCCTTCTCTCGCCTCCTGCAATATAAAAAAAAAAACTGAATAATAAGAAAATCATTCAAACAAAAGAAATGAACTGTTTTGGGAATTATATTTTATCCACCCACCTTGGGCTTGCTGTGAACAGAAGTAACGTGGGAGGAGCCATTGCTAAGGTTATTACAGCTCGAAAGCTTCTTCCTCTTCTTGCTATGATCGGCGGCGGTGGGCTGCGCGGCATTGAACTGAGTGACTTGCTCTCCGCCCTCTGTATTGGAAGAATGGCCGTCGGTGCTCTGTTTTCTGGTGACACTAGAGGCCTCCCCCTCCTCCTTGTTGTTATTCCTGCTCTCTTTCACATCAGCCGCCTTAGGATTGTTGTGATTATCAGTATTGCAGTCGTGGTTGCTGGTAAACGCGTAATGATTGTTCTGCTGCTGCAATGGCGAACTATGATTAGCAGGGTCATCAAACCCGCTGCTGCTCTGGCTGCTGTGTAGTAAGAACAATTCAGGAGGGTAAAATTGGGGGAAATTGACAGAGCTACTCCCGGGTTCCTCCATGAACAACCCAGCTGGTGATGAGATTTTATTGAGATATTTGGCGGGAGAAGTAGCAGGGGGCGTGGTGGTAGAAGTGGTAAATGTAGCGGTAGCCATGTTTTGGTGGGGGGAAACAGAGTCGAGAAGGAAAGGATGAGGGAAAGGGTGCTGGAAAGAAAAGGCTGACATATCAAAAATTATGAATTTATCTTCCAGCCGATCCTTGTGAAGAAAGTGATGATGAAAAATGGGTTTCAGGGTTCTATTTTGTTTTTCAAATTTCTTCTGCTGGGTTTGGGTAGCAGAGGAAGGAAGGCAGGGAGAGAGAGAGGGAAAAAGTGAGTGAGTGGTGGTGCCGGTGCGGTGTCAAAGTGGTGAGAGAGGGGCGATTCGATTGTTTAGGGTTATATATATAGAGAGAATGATGGAAGAGAAAGAAGATAGGGAGGGGAAAATTATTGGCATTATTATTTGTCGCTCTAAAATTTTTTATTCGTTGTCCTGATTAAACTAAATTTATTTTAATATTTTTAGTTCATTTATTTGCCTTTCTAACACTTAAAATTACGGTGAAGAACAAGATGTTGCAGAAAGATACTTGGTTAGTGGTTCTGCAGACCTTGAACTTCGATTTTACTTGGTTAAGGATGCTGCCAAATTTTAATTTTGGCTCTCACACTCTTTCAAGTGCAAGTGAGGACGTTCCAAACCCTTCTTTTACCACACTCTCCATTCTTCAACCTTTGTGTTTAGTTATTGTTCGCTAGGTTTTCTTCTATGGTTTTTTGCACAAATAATCGCCTTTGTATATTGTTATTGTTCGCTAGGTTTTCTTCTATGACTTTTTGCACAAATCATCGCCTTTGTGTTTAGTTATGGTTCAATAGGTTTTCGTCTATGGCTTTTTGAAAAAATCATCGCCTTTGCCCACCATTTTGCAGCCATCTCGAAATACTGTCGGCGGAATCCTAAGTTGTTTCCCACCACCGTTTTCCAAGGCCTCTACCACGAGTTTTGTATCAGGACCGAGTTTCATCCTTCTTAGTGTTTTTTTTTTCTTTTTGTTGAGCATGATCACAATTGAACCCAAACATATGGGTATCCTAACTTGAACACAAATCATCGCATTTGCCCACTATTTTGCAACCCATATCGAAATACTGTCGGTGGAATCCTGATTTGTTCCCCACCGAGCACGACCTGCTTCAACTCGTCACCACTCCCACCGAGAGTCGCCGCCACTGATTTCTTCTTTTTCTTCACCGCTGCGTTGATGCCCCTGCTAGACGAGAGTGAGAGTGAGAGAGAGGCAAAGCTAAGGTAGCAGACGAGATGATAGAGAGATAGAGAGAGAGGAAGCATCGGGCCGAGTCTCATTTCCCCATTGTTTTCCCCTTCCTCCTCCTGATATGGGATTGAATTGGTTGGGATTATTTTCTATAAGGAAGGAGGAGTTGCAGAGGGATTTAAGGGAAGGGTTGGAAGAAAGCTTTGAACTTGCTGCTCAATTTAGACCTCCCAATGTTGGCTGGAATGGGTGATGAAGAAGAATAAGGCGGCGGGATGAATGCCGGCAGCGAGGGGGTTTGAAGAAGATGTTGCGGGAGTGGTGAAATTGGGATTGACCGGCTTTTGATAAATTTTTACGGGTTTGAGTAATGGTTGGTTTTAGATATTAAATTGGAGTTGTTTATTATTTGTTTTGATGAGGTTGAATGCTGACTACATAAATCTAACAGAATTTTAGATGGAGATTAACAGAAGTGACCATTTCGTACAATTTCAAACTTTTGGGAACAGATCATTACAAATTAAAGGTTTATGACCGTTTTGTACTAAGTGCAAAGGTTTGTGACTGTGTATGATAATTACCCTACCTATCTTCTTTGTACATTTATTTTGTGGGAATAAAGAAGAGAGCACTCCATTGCCTTCTGCCTGCTTTGGCCGCCGATGGGGTCAGACCCTCTACGGTACATGCAGCGCTAACAATTGGAACAAGCAGTGCAAATATTTTTAACCGAAAAGCCGGTCTGATTTGGTATTTAGGTTTTGTTTCCCCATATGAGCTCGATGATGTTGGCCGCCGGCCGATTGTTTGCCCCCGATCAAAATATGTCTCCATTACTGCCATTACCAAAGTTGTGGTTTCAAATGCACCTTCGAAACCTGTGTTTATAGTGAGCGGGAACAGACAGTTACCTATGTCAATCCATCTAAAAGAATTGGATTAAAGGATCACTACCTCTGTTTCTTGCAAATAATCCTCTGTCTTCGTTTGAAAGCCCAACGCTAATTGGAGTGAGATTCTTCTGGGGCTTCCAACGGCACAAGAAGACGGCACGGAGGAATACGGATGTTGGGACTTCTTCCAGCAGCAAGAGAAGACAACGACTGCCACGGAATTAGTTATGCTAAATTACACGTTTGGTCACTTAAATTACATAAATCTTTCACATTTGCTAGACGAATTATTTTTCTTTCTTATCAGCCACTAACTTAACGAATCATTTCACCTTAGTCACCGATCGTTACACTTCGTTAAATTTGTCCTACGTGGCAGTCAACTATAAAGTTTGACCGTTAACTAGATGATCTGGAAATTAAAAAAAAAAATTTTTTTTTTTATTATTCCACCTCATCATTCCACCTACTTTGTGTATTTGATTTATCATATATTCATATTACTTATTTAATAAAAATTAATGAAAAATGGAATAAATATAAAAACAATAAATTAGAAGATGCGGAGTTCACTCCGGAAGCATTAGCACCGAGAAGGAAGATGGGTGAGGAAAGGATGCTTGCATTCCGGCGTTGGATTCCGACTTAATCCTCCCACCACACTTCCTCTTCAATAAGAAACCTGGAGTCAATCTCGTCTAATCTGCAGCGTTGATTCCTCTTTCGCCGCCTCTAATGAAAGCCTAGGTTTGGGTTCTTGCGATGGGGTTTAGGGATATTTGTGATGGGTTCTGGGTTGGTATTCTGGATCCGAATTCAGTATTTGTTTTTACTTGTTGCAGGTGACCGCTCCAGCAACGACAGTGGAGGAATGATCCCTTACGAAGATTCAGAGAAGCCCCTATTCTGATTGACGGTGGGAGATGGTGGAGATTCGATCCATCATAGCTTTTATCTCCTGGAGTCCTGGTCGTCCATTCCTCTTCTGTTCTCCGCTCCGTCAACGCCAATAAAAGCGCAGAGTTTAACAAGTTCAAATCCCCACTGCAAAGAGAAGGAAATGGGTAAGGGAATTTAAATTTACACGGCGACGGTAAAGGCGGAGGAAGTTCTTGGCGGCGGTGAAGGAGCTTTGACGATGGTCATACAATTTCCACCTTCCATGTCGTCTTCCTTGCTCTTCAATTTCAGCTCCTCGACTCACCTTTGGTTCATGTTCTTCAATCTTTGCCTCGGTGATTTAACGAAGAAGAAAGAGAAAAAGGAAATAATAGTTCTCAAGTGGATGGTATCCTCAAGAACAGAGGATAAGGCAAACTGTAGAAAGTTTATAGGCACCATGAATTTAATTACCCCTATATTCATTCGCTAAGTTTCCAATTAGACAAAGTAGGTGGAATAATAAATTTTTTTATAATATCCACGTCATCTAGTTAACGATCAAACTGTATAGTTGACTGTCACGTAGAAAAAATTTAACGGAGTGTAACGGCCTGTGACTAGCAGTGAAACAATTCGTAAAGTTAGTGGCTGATGAGAAAGAAAAGTAATTCGGGTGGCAAACGTGAAATATTTGTATAATTTGAGTGACCAAACATGTAATTTATCCGAATTAGTTCGATTGGGTTTTGGGAGATGAAAAGATTATGTTTAATTGTATACTAATTGTTTTCTTAAGAAAATAACAGAAAAGGAATTAAAAATCTTAATAAACACGTTTCTCTCCACCCAAGAAGGAGTTAATAGATTATAACAAAAAGGAGTTAATAAGCTTTTGAACACATGACAATTGGTTATTGGCCAGGAGTACCATGTCACCAATCCCACATGGTACTCCCCATATAGGCAATAATTCCTCATATGAAATAAACAAAAATCGAGGAAATCAGATAAGGTAAATACTGGATATTTGGTTTACTATTTAGTTTCATTTCACTAGAAAATATAATTTTTAATCACTCATTTTACATTTTAATTTCACAATCGGACATAACTCTATTAACTTTATCATATGTAGTAGTCAACTTTAATAATTGATTGATATATGATTGACAAAAAATCTTTTGACTATTCTCGACTCTTTCTTTTTGTCAATATTTTGTGGTTGATGTGAGGGGTAGAAATCCCTAGCTTATACAAGTAAAACCAATAGTTCAAAGCAGGAAACAGAGATGTGAATACATGTTCTCCTATAGGTAAAGAGTGACCTAAAGAAGCAATAAAGTCAGCCACAAAATTTGCTCCCCTATATACATGAGTGAGGCAAACGTGCCACTATAATGCAAAGAGACAATGTATCTCAGTGACCAAAACAAAGTGTGGATGAGTGGGCACTACAAACCAAATAATCCTAAGTGTCGTTGGCGAGTCGTTGTGTGTAAAAATATTCCAAATCCACAAATCCCAGACAATCCTGGGACAATGTGCAATTCCATCCAAATCTACAAAGGTAATGGGAACCCCCTCCCACCAAGGTCCATTGTATCCCCTCACGATGTTGCTCGTCACCTTGCTACAATAAGAGTGAAAGATTGATCTGTCAACATTCAAGCATGCCCAGACGTGTGGTGGTGGCATCCAACAAATTAGCTTTCTTTGTAGTGCTCTCCCTTCTCCAAATATGGATAACAACATATTTATACATGTTCATCCCCTCATTTCTTGGTCGTTTGGGCTTGATATCTTGCATCCAAAGCCTATTTTACGATAGGTTGTGTTCATTTGTCATATTGCAGGTCCTAATACGTGAAGAAAGCTTTAGGAGCAAGTTTTGGGTGAATTGGAAGATGACTGAGACTTCGGAGGAAAACTAGGTGAATTACACGAGGATGGCTTATGAGTGATGATATACGACAATGCTTTGTAAGGAACAAACCATGTAAAATTACAAGAGGTAATACACGGTTCGACTTGAGGATACAAGAACGTGTACATCCAAAGAGAGATTGTGTAAAACCCCTTGGCCAATATAAGGGACACGGAGCGATTTCCGATTACACGGTCCGAAGGAGGAGCTACACGACTGTGTAACTTTCTAGCTCCTTTTCCTCGATCGCATGGAGAATGAATAAAGTCAAGTGGTGTCGGAACCTTTATTTGCGCCCTAAAAAACACATCCTCAACTTGGCAATCCCATCACACGGGTGGAAGTTTTACTTGCACTAGAGAGGAGCTAGTATCATCTCGTAGGCCTACCCCACCAAGACTCAACTAGTATCTCTTCCAAAATCTAGTTTTTCCCAAGTATAAAACGCT